ATATAATTCCTATCAACTTGCTATCAATGGGGAGTTCAAAGCCATTCACCAATCTTTCCCTCAATAAACCGATACCTATACCGACCTTCTCGCGAATGGCCGTGGACTTGTCCGACAATCAATTCCCTCCTGCCTGTTCTCCATCTCATTTGTACAGGATATACTATTGCTTTCCCACCTGGCGTCCCATTTCTTCTCTCCCTACTCAAGTGGGGTTCTAATATTAATCCTCGTTTAGCCTAAGCCTACGATCTTTTACTCACGCCGACTTTTGTATCAGCTTATTTCCTATCGCCAGAAAAACGTATAGCCTGCAAAAAAAGTCTGCATCAGCAGTGTGCATGTCTCACACTGAGTTTAAATGTCCTTAGAAATTTGAATGCGGTTCATAGAAAATTTGTACACAAAAATATTTTTCCTTATATTCGTTTGATAGTAAATAATGCCTTCTTCTTCTTCTTCTTCTTCTTCTTCTTCTCCTTTAGGAGAGAGTATTTTTGAGGATAAAAAGGTTTGCAACTATTACATTTTTAAGACCGCGCAATGTTCATTCGTTAGCTACAAAGTGTGGAACACGATCCATATGCACCGCAAAATGTTACGAAATTTTTGTGGCCCTGCAGAGAACCCGCAGTGCTTTCCACTGTAGTGACTAGTTGAAAAGCACTCTGGGAGCGCTTGCTGCTTTCGGCTTTTGACACAGCCAATCACAGGCCGACCCACATAGGACTTCATGTGACGACTGTCGAGCAGACATGACTTCAGACGCCGTCCACTTGCCTGCGGTTGTGCGGTTCCGCCAGAAAGAGAACGGACCGAAATAATCACCTGTCCAATGCATTTTGCGTCCTCCTTACATGTGCTTGCTCTTCGAACTGACCGCGGCCAATTATACCTCTGTTGAAGGATCAACCAAAAATCCATAAATGATTGACTTTTTGTAGCCCCCGAAATATTCTAACTATTAAACTCTGACACCTACGCTGCACCGATATTACACTATATTTTTGATATTATTGTATTTATTTAGACAGGTTTTTTACATAGAACAAATTCCCTATTTTGCACACTTTTGGCCAAGCATAAAAGTGAAGCAAAGCCAAACGAAGAAGTTTATTTTAGATTTTTACTCTTTTCCAAGGGTATTAACCGTGCCCAAGAGGTGCCTTATAAATAAACCTTATTATTATTACAAGCAAAGCATGGACCGGATATTTACAAGCTGCCAAAATAAATTGTCGATAGGAAGCCTGTCTCGTTAGTTGATAACACTACTCGAGGTTTAAAAGTAAGCGCACTGATTTCGGAGGTTTTCTCACCTTTTGGTCCTCGTGGACCCGTTGGCCCATCTTCTCCCGCCGGTCCTGGTTCTCCCTTGAAGCCCTGGAAGCCCTTTGGACCTTTAGAAAGAAGGCGAAAAATCAAGGAAGTTAGGATTAATCAAGCCAACGAGTAAGCCTTCTGCTAATCGATTTGCACCTCTACTGCTACTTCTGCTTCTACCTTGAAAACCACAACTGGGGGAAGGCCTGACCAGAAGGTTCATCTTCCGATCTGGCCCACCCGCCTTTCTTTGTTGTGTTAACCTATTGGATTAGGGTTATTTATTTAAATACGGGCGTCCTCTACGGCATATTTTGTCCATTTTAGTTAGAGATCCATTGTATGAAGGTTAGTTAAACGCAAAACGGAAATTAAACCCTTCTACTTTAACACAATAAGTAGTTATT